ATTTTTGTTTGGTCGCTAGAGATAAATGTTGATGTACGATATCAGTAAACTTGGCAACCATAAACAATTGTCAAATTAGTTAAAATGGTCAGTTTTCAGTAAAAGATAGCATAGTTAAACTTTAACCCTTGCACAAAACTCAAGCATACTTTCAGAAAAGGTTAAAAAGTTGTGGTTTATTTTTTCTATAACATATTTTAAATACTTTTATATTACAATCCCCAGAAGATTCATTTATTGATTGTTTGTTTGACAGAGTCATACATTGAAAGATCTATTTTGTTTACCAGTGCATAGACTTGCGAGCAGGCGTCCTCTGGCTGTGAGGCTCTACCTGAATGGCCACTGCCTCTGAGAAGCGCTTCGTCTTAACACGACCTGACTCGATCTTGATCTCCTCTAGCCTCTGCACCGAGCCCGGGAAGCTGCTCAGTGTGATCATGTGATCGACTCGCTTCAGTATGACCTTGTCGGTGACCTCCTCTTCGGGGGCCAGATTGCCACACGCACCGGCGATGGGCACTTTCACAAATTCAGGCACTGAAGTTCTAGGCTGCGTCAGCGTCTGCTCAATTGCTAGTCTTCGCTTCTGCCGGTAACGGGTGAAGAGGAGAAATGCCGCGGAAATGCAGATGAGGGCAACTAGTGCCAGCAGTCCATACTCCATGCAAAGTACTGATTCGTCATCCATTGCGGCGGTTTACTGGTGGTTGAGAAGGTGGACAACTGATTGACGACGATGTGGTTGATGGCACCCTTCATCGGGTCAAGGAGTACAAGGGGGTGAAAAGGAAGGTGGTCAAGGTGGGGCAGGAGAACCAGTAACGGTAAGACTTCTACAACTGGGTAGCTTTTTGCGACCGACTTGTATGTTCGGAAAAGAACTCTTTCTCTGTGTTTCGCTGTAGTCAGTGAGTTGACTGAAAGGCTGCGGAAAGCGGTAGGCCTATTTATATGCAGACAATGAGCACCTTTAGGTTGAATAATGGGTCTGCAAGCAAGAGCACTGCTTTATGGCGGGCTCCATTTGATCCTAATGATTAGGACGACATTATACGACTGTACGAGGGCAGACACCAGGGTGCCATTTCACCAAACATGGAGCACACTAATAAATGACAGTAGATAAAATGCTCACCCGGCTCAGTGCAAGTCCAAACTCGACTGATGGTGCTCTCTGCCCCACTGTCCAACCACTGTCCTCTTGGTAGTTGGTTGCTCGGCGTACAGGAGGGGGCAATAAAAACAAAGCATCTTTTTCTACACTTTTCTAGACATTAAAAAAGGTTTTTTCCTATTGTACAATTTGATTAAATAAATAAACAATAGATGAAAAATACAAATAAACAAAATGAACGAAATCGAAGTTTGTATATTGAATTAGAGAAAAGTGTTTAAATTGAAAAAGGCAGTGATTTTAAAGGTGTCATTAAATGAAATCTGCACTTAAAGTATTTGTTTTTTATTGAGTTGCACTGTGACCATTGCACTGTTTTGCAGTTTGGAAAATAACATCCTCCTCCAAAAAAGTGCAAAGTTTTGAGATGTTGTCTCATCAAACGGGTACAAAGTCGTAAAACGGTTTCATTCCAGATACTTCTCAAACACTTTCCAAAACACAAAGTAGCAAAGTCAACCGATAAGTTTTTTACTTGTAGAAACATCTGATGAAATTGTGAAAATTTTTAGAGCATATCAACAAAATTAAAAAATAAATAAACATTGTAAAACTAAAATGGCAATTTGTTAGTTCTACAGCTCGGTTTTTAAAAAAGGAAATGGATCGACTAAAGTCCATGATGATGACGATGGTGATGATGACTGAGCTGCATTTTTTGTGGACACTTTTTGAGCAGTGTCATAAATACTAGTCATGTTTTGAGTGCCCCTCTGCACAGGCACCAGTTTGAGGTTGGCGACATTGCCGAAAAAGTCACTCAATGGCACACTGTATGGACTTCGGCCGTACAGATCACGGCGAACAGAGACCGTGGATATGCAGAGGTGTTTAGGACAAACTTCAAGAAAATCACCAAGAGTGATTGTTTTTGAGCTGCTAGAATGCGGTGAATACCTCTCAAGAAACTCCAGCACATAGTATGTATACCGGTCAATGACGTAGACGCCAATTGATGGGTCGCCGTGATGAGAAAGTGAATCTTCACCTACCTTTGAGCTTCCAATGCCTACAGGAATAAACAAGAATAAGAAAAGAGAATAATACATTGTTATTCAATTACCAATGATGTTGGGCGAGTAGATTTTAGCCGACATTGACTCCGCCTGACAGGTGTCAATGATAAAGAGCACCTCATTGTATCGCCCCTTCTGATGCATCTGCTCAAAGGCATTTGCCAGCTCCATTGAGGTTAGCTCTTCTGAGTCTTGAAACTTCAGAAAACCATCACCACCGTGGCCGGTCATGTAAATGAGAATGTTTGAGCCGGAATTGGTCAGCAGTCGCTTCGACTTTGGCGTCGCTTCAAGCACTCGTCCGGTGAGCAAACGAATGAAGTTCTCGGTGGTCACCTCGTAGCCCCGGTAATCGACCTCAACGTCGTCGCCGTACACATTGATGTGGTGCTGACCGTTGTTGAAAACCGTTCCCGGTCGAGGATTCCTAGCATCACAGGCCATATCATCTGATATCATGAGAATGATCTGCGAATCAGGAATGCCAAATCGCTTCACGCTTCGATAGATGGACAGGGCATTTGCAACGTGACGGTAATTGAACCAGAATCTTGATGCGCCCACAATCACAGCCCAATTGTTGGTGTGGCCGGTCCCGGGTGAGCTTTTCCCGTAAAAGGACGCCACTTTTTCATCAAGATCTGAAGCAGATGCATTTCCAAAGTTGGCCGCCGTTATCAGGAGAATCAGATAAGCGAATCCTAGTTGAATCATTTTCGTAACCGATAAACTCTAAAAAACAAAACTTGGACTTTTTTTCTGAAATCAAAACATCGGCTGTTCAGACGACAGTTGAGTTAACATAGCCAAATTGGCAAAAGCCACAGTAGCCTCACTGAAAACAGTCCATTCAGTGCGGAGTAATTTTTTAAAAGTATTTTTGCACGACAGCAAGTTTTTTATCACAAAACTGATGTGCCAAAATCATCTTGATACTTGGTCTTTTCAACAACAAAAGATGGCTTGTCAAAGAAGATTTTGTACTCAACACAAAGGGTAAGGAAAATATTGTTTTTGTAATGCAATTTAGCCAAAAACCATAAAGAAATGTTTGTAAATATTTTGCACTGTGATTAGACAATTAAGAGTGTCTCAATTTAATTAATTTTGATAAACTTAACTTAATTAAAATCAGTCAAGTTTTGTTGTTTGCAAAAAGGCAAGGGTTAACTGCGATTAAAAGTTAATTAATAGACACAGATAAGGGAAATATTAAAGCGCAGTAATGGATGTAAAACTGGTATAAAAACAAAGGAAATACGTAACCAAGTGTTTATTAGTTGTGAAAGAGAATCCGTTTTCACCTAAAAATGAAGTCATTTATTGCAATATTACTGCTGCTGGTGGCCTTTGCCATTTGCAGCGTCACAGCCGACCATGAGATTCGAGTAGAGAATAACTGTCATTTTAAGATATGGCCGGGCGTGGCGAACAATCCCGGAAAGTCCCTTCCCCTCAACGGAGGCTTTGAGCTTGATCCACATCACTCGAGAAGCTTTCACGTCCCTCACGGATGGAGCGGCAGAGTCTGGGGACGGACCAACTGTAATGCTCATGGCCACTGCGAGACTGGTGACTGCGGTAAGTAGGGGGAGACGACTGAGCTTTGTAATAATAAACCATGGGCTAATCAACTCAAAATTGTCTTCTATTCTCTGCAGGAGGCAAAGTAGAGTGCCACGGAAAGTGGGGCGCGCTGCCGGCGACGCTGGCCGAGATCGCCTTCGACCAGTACCAGGGCATGGACTTCTACGACATCAGCCTCGTCGATGGCTTCAATCTGCCGGTGTCGATCCTCCCCATAGCGGGCACCTTCCACCGACGGTCCAACCAGCACAATGACTGCACTGCGACCACTTGTCGAACGGACATCAACGCCCACTGTCCGCACGAGTTGGCCGTCAAGGACGGTCATGGCAAAACCATTTCCTGTAAGTCAGCATGTACGGCCTTCCGCACTCCTGAGTACTGCTGCACCGGTGCCCATGACAAGGCGACCACTTGTTTGCGCAAGTTTTGGAAGGTCGATTATCCGAGTCAGTTCAAGCACTGGTGCCCTGATGCCTACAGCTACGCTTTCGATGATCCAAAGAGCACCTGGGCCTGCATTAGCAGTGGCAGTCACCAGAGTGGCTATGTCGTCAAGTTTTGCCCCTAAACTGTAGAAAATGATTTTAATTGCCTATGGTGGCTAATTGGCCTTTGGAGTTTGGGCTATTTTTATGTCAACTCAGAATAATTTGCCAGCATGTTATTAATATTAATACTTTTTTGAGCTAGAATTTAGAATGCCATTAGCTTTGATTGGTGCAAATCAATAAATAAATATTTACAGTGAATTTGGCCACTTTTTTGGTCAGCTCACACATGCACGGTGTTCTTAGTTTCTCTTAGCCACTAAGAAGGTGGAGGAGAAAATATCCTCTGAGAAATAGTCACATCTGTACAATATAGAGACGAGTTTGTCGTACATTTGCTAGAGGAATTACTTACGTGTGACTGCTATATACTTGCCATAAAATTGTATCAGAAGATTGGTATATAATGGACAGCAAAAAGTGTTAAATCATTCACTTTAATGTACACTTTCTGCTCACTTTTGTCAGGGACATCCACTACTACCACTATTCTTATATCAAATATTAGCTTATAAACATTGAACACCATTTTTTTGTATAATCAGGCAACAGAAATTGATCTTCTTCTGAGTGTATTAGCAAAAACAGTAACAAGTGATGCTTAGCAAGTGCAAATGAAATAATAACCTACCATGGACAACTACTCTATCAACCTCGCCGAGCTGATTGAGTCTCCGGAGGTAATTCAACTGTCACTGATGAACTTTTCCGCCGACTACGAGACAGGCCACCACCTGGACGAGCACTCCGCCTGCTACCACTCGAGCACCCTGGAGCTGGTCAGCCCCGGGACGCAGCTCTTCCTCGTGCTGCTGTACAGCGTGACAGCACTGCTTTCACTTTTGGGAAATTTGACGGTCATCGCGGTGCAGCTGGTCGGCCACGAATCGGCCGCCTCCGTCCGCCGCCACCTCATCTCGCTGGCCATCGCCGACATCATCAGCGGCGTCCTCTGTAAGTGCGCCAACAGTTTTGTGCATGTGTGTACTGCCCTAGTAACACTAACCGCCGGTCAGGTGTGCCCTTCTCCTTCACCAGCATCACCCTCCGCCAGTGGGTCTTCCCTTCGCTTCTCTGTCCGCTGATGCAATACGCCCAGCTGCTGAGCGTCTTCGTCACCGCCGTCACTCTGACGATCATCGGCGTGGAGCGGTACATGGCGACGGTGCACCCCTTCTCCGGCGCCCACCAGTGGCTGCGCTCGCACACCGGCACCCTCCTCCTCCTCACCTGGATCACCGGCGCCCTCTACGCCTGTCTGCCGCTCACCCACACGCGCACCAGCGAGTTCACCCTCAACGGCGCCGTCCACCTCGCCTGCACCGCCGACAATGACATGGGCCAGTTCAAGCGACGGCTCTTCATGAACTTCAACTTCATACTCACTTTTCTCGTGCCCTCACTTACGCTGACGATCTCCTATGCGGCCATACTGAAGCGCATGAAGAGGCAGAAAGCCATCAACGACTACCTAAATGATTGTCAGGTTTTAAATCAGGTATTCGCGAGAAGGGAGCGATAAGGGCACACTCTAGCACTCATCACCAGCCTTTCTTTTGTGCTCGCTCATTAGTTTGCGTTTATTTGCTAATTGTTTTTTTCTCATTTTCTGCTTCTGTTTACATTCACTAGCCAGTCAGTCGATATAACATCAACTTAACTCTGAGGAANTGTTTTTTTCTCATTTTCTGCTTCTGTTTACATTCACTAGCCAGTCAGTCGATATAACATCAACTCAACTCTGAGGAAACGATCAAAGCGAATTAACAACCGACTGAAGGTATGTGTGCTTGCACTGCTCTGATGAGTAGCTTTCGGGTAATACTTTTCTGAAAGTGGTAGTTTTGCACTGCACCCAACCCCACAGTGATATTTATTATAGACATTTTTTCCTAAACTAGACCAAACTAGATTAGTTTCAGTTCAAGTGCAAGTATTTAGTGCATTTTTGTTTTTCTAATCATTTACCAGCGAAAGGGGTAGACTCTAAATGTCAGATTTTGTAAGTAGGCAGGTAGAAATCGGGTGATTGAGGTAATACATCAAATCTAATAAATAATGCAAATAGGTGGAACAAATAGTGTAAATTTTAATTATGCACTTGTCAAACATTTTATTTTCATTTGTTCAAAGAAGGTGCTAGTTCTTTTGCTTTGACAACGCTAAAATTAGAAATCTGACCAGCGTGGCAATACTCTCGGTATCATGTTGTGCAGTCAAGCAAATAGCGCAGGGTCAATATTGCCTGGGAGGGGGTACACTGTTACTCTTTGTTTCTTTTAAAAGTGGCACCAATCAAATCAATAATAAATGCTAATAAAGTTTTTCACCTTCTTCCGTTTGGCCCTCAGACAATCAAGCTAATGTTCACCATCATCATTCTTTTTGACATCTGTTGGTTTCCCATAAAACTGTACCAGTTCTTGATCGATTACGACCTAATTACCTTTTGCAGTGAAATGCAATTTAATGCTCTCATCTACACCTACATTACCTTCCACTGGCTAGCAATGGCCAACAGTTTTATCAACCCGATTGTCTATTCTTTCTATTCACGCAGCTTTCGCGTAAGTACACTGATTTCAACTATTTTGCGTCATCTCATTTCGCTCGTTGCCAAAGTAATAACGAATGGTTTTGTATTTTATTTAAAAGAATGATTTCAAGAAATTACTTTCTATTTTTGAAAAAAGCCGAAGATTCACAGTAACACTATCTTCCAATGAAAGGGGAGCCATCATGCTATAAGTGCAAACACCGGTGCCAAAAATTGTCATATGTCAAAGTCGTCACACACACTCATTCTTACGGAAATTAATCAACAGTTCATTTGATTTTTATTTTTGTAATAACTTTTAAATTAAAGCAAACAAGTTTAAATTCAATTTAAAAGATTTTTGTATATATTCTAAAAGTTTTATTAAAAAATTAAAATTAATCATGAACCCAAATCAGGAAACATATAAATTAAAAGTGTTTTAATTATTTTTAACAACTTTTATTTAAAAGTTTTAAATTGAAAAATAAATTAAAAGTATAACATTAAATGAAATACAAATACAAATAAATAATAAACTTAAGCAACAGTTAAGTAGAGTTTTCAAAGTTGAGATTTTTAGTTCTATGAAAGAAAGTAAAATGAACGGGAAGAGGAAGAAAAGATAAGAAGAAAAAAGAAGTTAGAAACGCTGAGTTGAGTTTGAAGATAAAAAATATAATTTATTATTATTACTTTCAACGAAAGATGAAGATCAGTAGGAATGATAACAGGAATTTTTGGTGGTAATACTGCGACAGTGGAGGGAGTCTGGACGATGACATCCATCAGAGAGCGTTTTCTCAACAACAACGGCTTCATTTCCTCGCGAATTGAACGGCCCTTTGTAGTTCGCTGCAGTTCGTTACGCTTGTAGGAAATGGACTTGGCTAAAATCATAAAAAAGAAAAGTGGTTGTTTAAAAATGCTAAGTTCTACAAACTTTTTTGTCGTTCACACTGGCAGATGGGAGAAAGCTAGCTGAATAGGCAGTTACTTACCGTCAATCGTTGTCAGCAAGAGCTGGTGAAAGAGTAACACGAGAAACAGATTCGGCATTGAAAGCATCATTTTTTCGTAGATTTCTAGGCCAAATTTCATAGCGGCAGTTTGTAGATTGGCAAAAGAAAACTTGTGCTGGTGTTTAGCGTTTTGACTGGTAGTCACTTCTACTTTTCTTCTTCAGACGTCGAAGAACTTCGAACACTGGCACTGGAAGGACTGTTGGCCGGGCGGACACTTTATATACAGATTGCAGCACCGACGCAATGCACGCCGACCAGGGCACGCTAATCAAGGACAGCATCAAAATCAGCCTCCGTGCTTAGCTCTGATATACTGTCTTCGGATATGTTTTGCCCTGATCGATTATCTCGCAGAGACTGCAGTGCAGTGCCGATGCTGTCGGTGCTGTCGGTGCTGTCGGCTCTGCTGGTGATGGTGGCGGTGGCGGTGATGCTCAGATGATGATCACTACATGTTGGTGATCACTGAAGGTACTGCCCCTAGTGGCGGCAAACTGTTAACCCAAAAGCAGCCCTGGTGAGGATGACGGTGATGATTGCCAAACCTATCGTTTCGTTCACTCCAGTTCAACTGGTAGTGGATGCTTCGAAATGCTGCTGTGGTTGATTATTTATTTACTATAATTACTAGTAAACTAGTACTAAACTACACAGTAGAAGTGTAACAGTACTTGTTGGAAGTTACTTTGTTTTAATCTAAATGATGCCAAAATTTTGGGAAATTTGTTTCCGTTGCTGTTGTCTGATAAAGTTGTACTTGATAGATAAAATTTTCTGTTTGAATTTTTGAATTATGTTTTTTATTAATCATTCCACCTGAATATTGATAACAATTATGTAATTAAGATAAAATTTATTTGTGTTTACTTGTAAATAAAATAGTCTAGAATTAGTATAAAAGTTTTCTCTTTAAAAATTATTTTTCATTACTTTCAAAATACCCTAAAAATCGATTTTAGTTTTCTTAGCATCATCACTTTTTTACCATCCATCCTATACAGGTTGTTTCGTCCACAAATTGAACGCCTACGTGTCTACAGTAGGGAGTAGTGTCCTGCAAAATCTCCTCATTTTGGGCGCGATTGTCAACTTTGTATCATCTTGCTCCGATTGTCGTCACCGGCGCAGCAACCACCACAGTCCCAAGTACTGTGCCTGTTGACTTTGCTCTGAACAAGGTCTGCACACACACACACAGGTCTAATCGGCAGGCACACAGGCGCACACACCGACCACCAGTTCACCTCACTTCACTTTAGCGGATCGATTGCTCCTTTCTCTGGCCATCGCACACGACGCCGGCGCCATTATATAACTCAGCATTGACTGTGTCAATGGAAGTCAATGTGACCGTGTGATGTGCGTCAGCTCGATAGCCATCTTCGGTGTCTTCGGTGAAGCTCGCTCTCTCTCGCTCTCTCTCTCTCTCTCTCTAGCTCTTTTTCTGACTCTCGCTCTCCCTCTCTTTCTCACCCACTCGCACTCACCCTCCCGTTCAGTCACTTGCCAACCGGACTGAAGGAGTATCAATTGCGACAGCACAACGAGAGACATCATCAGCGACAGCAACAGTGAGAGACCGCACTGAAAACGCTGTCATGTATTTTTAGCTGATTTGTAAGCACTCAATTGCCTCAGCAAGTGAATGAGTGAGTGAGTGAGTGAGCGAGGGTGTATTGATGATGAATTTACCACATAATGGCACTTTTGATGTGCACTCTTGTGCGCTATCACCAACCAACTAGTTGCAAAGTCTATCCCCAAAAACTGATAGCGCCAAACTGCTGTTTCTGTGTTGCTGGTGCGGGTGCTCAATGGAGCTTTTGGAAGTGATCACTGGCTGTGATGGGGAGTGTGCGTGCAGTTTGCCATCTAGACCAGGCACAGTGTTGCTGTCTCAGTACTTCTGTACAGTGTAGCAGTAGTACAACAAACACTGCAACCAGGCTGCAGTTTCGTTTTCCTTAGCTGCTATTCATTGAAGGAAACAATTAACAGCGCCTCACAGAGTTCCCGGGATGCCAGAGCAGAGTAGAGTACCCATACACTAATGTTGGGGTGCACTACAAGTTGAAATACATGTTCGCTTCTTATTTACTAATACTTGCGCCAGCAGAAGTCAACAGCAGAGCAATATGATTGTGTCTACAAATTAAGTGTAATTTTTTTTACTGCAGCTTCTGCTGCTTTTGGGGAGGATGAAAGTTGTGTGGTTGTTTGCACAGAAAGAGACACAGTGAAAATTCACGAGTCAAGTACTGGGGGTACCAGTTATCAGTGGTGGCTGTGTCATTTCCGAGTTGAGTGCTTGCATCAACGGTGCCTTCTTCTTCACAGCACACTCAATCACGTTTCAGTCGGAGGGCAATGCATCGCTAGTGGAAAAGTTTAGCCAGACGGGCACAGTTACCACTGACAGAGTGACACTTGCTGATGGTCAGCCAGAGAGGAAGGAGTGAAGGGAGTGAAGAGGAGAGGGAGTTTGAAAGGGAAATGGCAACAGTACAGTTCCTACAAAAACACCCAGTCACAAAAACACCGTCCGGAGGAGTCGGCTAGTTTTAAGAAGTACTCAAACTGGAAAGTGAGGAGGAGATGCTCTACTTAGAGTTTGACGACTCTGAGAGTTACTGGTAAAGTATTAGTGATGCATGTACTTGGGCATTGGGATATTTTTTCTTATGCTAGTAGTAAGCGGTTAAAAAGTTTCTAATTCAGTAGTCTCTTGAGAAATATCTGATATTTGTCATTGTTGGCCAATTACTAAAATGTCAATGTCACAAAAAATGCCGCTTTTTTGTTAAGTAACTTTTTGCCCGCTCCATTTTTTGCTTGTTTTGCAACAATGTTACTTCAAAATTGGTGTTTTATTTCAAAATGTTATTTCTTTTAATGTTACTTTTAAAACACTTGTATTGTGTTGTGTTCACCAGAAAAGTTACTAGAAAGCAAGAGAAAGACTACATTTACACTCTTCCTTTTGGGTTGAAGCAACTTTGAGGGCTCGTTGTGTAGGCACGAGGTGATGATGAAGAAACAAAAATAAAAAGAAACAGCGTGAATGTGCAAACATGTCAATCAGTTGGCACTTGGTGTGTACTCACAGTCATCCACTTTGTTTACACTCATGTGATCATATCTTATGGCTGGGGCAGGACTAGGGAAACGTCTTCCGTGGTGATTTCATTTTTTTGTTGTTCATCGATGAGGTAGAAAGAGGATGATGAAGATGATGATGGTGGTGGTGATGGCATTGATTACTCACTACTGCGACTTGTCAACTCAAGATGAATGGAAAATTCAGCTACTTTTTTGTTGCAAAATNTGATGAAGATGATGATGGTGGTGGTGATGGCATTGATTACTCACTACTGCTTCTTGTCAACTCGAGATGAATGGAAAATTCAGTCACTTTTTTGTTGCAAAATAATACTTCGATTGATGCGCATACTAAAAAAATTATTTATTGTTCTACAATGTGTTACTGTCAAAAAAAATGTTTATCAAGCAATGGGTGAGTTAGCTACAAAATTTATACTGACTTTTTTGCAATAACTACAAATTAAAAGCTACTAATGACACGATGATTCTCTACGTCTCTAACTTTAAGTTGCTTTTTACAGTTCATCACGCTTTGCTTCACTTGTCTGACTTGCCTTGGCAGACTGTGAAGTCTTCTTTGCCTGTGGTGGTGGCTTGCTTTCTGCTGTCTTTGTTTTCACTGGAGTGCTTTCAACTGTTTTGACCGGCTTTGGTGTTTCACCGAGTTTGACCGTTTCCTTTTGCTTTGTCTCCAGCTTGCTAGCCGTTCGGAAAGCACTCACTGGCAGGCTCAAACGACCCAAGTACGGATTGGTGGCCGAGCCTAGCAAGAATCGTCGCTGTCCGTCATTTTGGTCCTCCATCTCAAAAACCTCAGAAAGGGCGCAGGTTTTGCCGTCTGGTGAGTGGAGTGAGTTGAGAATGTTTCCCTTGGCGTCAATCTCCAGCGCCATTCCGTACTCGCAGTGGCCCATGTTCGGAATGAGGCCCGACTTAAAGCCAACGCCAATTTTAAGCAGACAGTCACTGTCGACCAGTTTGGCGTACCATTCCACCACTGAGCCCACAATGAACTGCAGACGGACAATGAACCGAGTCAGGTAAACGTTTTTGGCGACCACGTCAAAGGCAAAGTGTGGCCGGTGTTTGTTGCGAGCGGTGTATATGCCCACCCAGAAGGTTTCACGAGTACGATCCGCTGATCGCTTGATGTTATCTGGCTCTCCGGGCAGGTTGTCCAGTATGGTCACCAGTTTGCCCTTCTCCGGACCGGAGATGCCGTACCGGTACACCAGGCGGTCGTTGATGGAGCAGAGGAGAAGGGCGCTTTTGTCGTCTGTTAGTTCAAGTCCGTTCGGAAAAGCGAGGTTCTCGTACTCAACGGTCATTTTCTTTGTCTGCGTGTCGTAGCTCAGCAGTCGACCCGTTCGGTCGTGCTCTGCGGCGCAGAACATTGCCTGGTTGAGGTCCCAGCGAGTGCTGACGTCGCTCAGGTAGAAAATCATGCCTGCTCCGCCGGGCTTCTCAATGATCACCATGTCATCGAGAAACTTGGCCCCGATTTCCTTTGTGTCGACAACCAGTTTGATGGCGCCGGTCTGCACGTTGACGGCAAAGACGCCATGGTGCGGATCAACCGCGTACAGTGTTCCCTTTGAGTCAAAGCGAAGGCCTAGAGCTCGGCCACACTGAAATTTGTACGGCTTGCTGCACACCTCAGGGCCGACCTTCTTTGGGTCAAGCCAGGCAACGGTCTCTATCCGATCAGGGAGCACCTCAACAATTCGGCCATCGCGCAGGCCAGTGTAGTACTTTCCTGTACAATAGAAAAACATGTGTGAATTGGTGCTGGAATTATATATTTGCCAAATTGAGAAAGCACTTACCGTTGAAGCTGGCAAATGCTTCTGGTCCGTGTATTTCATTGACAAATAGATGCTCTGCTTGATTTAGCAGATGATTAACCAGCAATGGTCCGCTGAAGGATTCGGGCAGTGTGTCAACTCTGAAAAGAAAGAGACAATGCTTGCGGTTAATTTATTACACGGTTTAGTGAGGTTTGCACAACTTGATCAGAAAAGAAAGCAAGTTAATGGAAAGAACAGATTGGCTCAACTTTGTTTAGCGCAAAGTTTTAGTGTGAATGCTCACTTCCTTGGAATGGCGGTCAAAATTACTAACGCTACTAATAAATTAACACATATCCGCTTTGGTGACGCCAAGAAAATGCAAAGAAACACTGTGCACTGTCATTGTCAGTAGCAAAAAAGTTAATAGAGAAAAAATACGTTTTTAAAATAGTTTCAGACCCTACAATTTGAATGTTCAGCATTGCCTGTGTGGCTTGGTAAAGAAAAAACTTACCCTTTATTTTCAATGCTCACATCAAAACCAATAAGATTCTGTGTGTCCGGCAGTATTGCCACTGCTACGAGGAAAAGAATCACCACGACAGTGAAAATGCTACACAACCCGGGACCGTTCTTTTTTCTGTGATTTGACGATTTGCTCATTCTTGCAGAATATCACAACTACAGGTTAATATTTTAAAACTGCTGTGGTTGCTATTGACAGGTTGCTAATCACTGAGTGAAGAAGAAGAAAGCGTTTTCAGGGTTCGGTTGTATCTAAGCAGTGCAGCAGTGACTGGGTAGCAAACGATGACGACGACGACGTGCTGAAAGCGTGCTTTACAAAGCAAACTTCAAACAGAGAGAACGACAGTTTTTCTGTCTGTCTGTGTTCCCAGTCTCTCTCTCTTTCTTTCTCTTCTCTTTCCTTTGCCAATTTCAAGCCTCCACTCTGAGCAGTAGACTCTGACAGTGGTGACATTGACAGTGATTAGATCCTGTAAAGCCTGTAGAGGGAAAAGTCTCAGGAGTGGAGAGAGGGAAAGTTAGCGGCGTTTAGCTCATGTACAGCAAGCTTCTGTATGCTATTTCATGTTCTATAGATGACCGATGATGGCAGTGCTGAAGATGACGGCACTTCAATGAATAGCAGAGAACGCACACAAATGCCTATGTGATTTTTCACTTTTCTAGGCACTTCTTTACAGGCGACAGTTTCTATTTATTTTATTATCAAAACTAGCATCAGTACAGTGGACCAAATGTAACAAGTGACGTAAAGAAGTAGTCTAGTGATTGTATCGTTACAAATAATAATAACAAATGCTCACATGATGCTAAATATGACTTGATGGAGATGCTTTTTCTGGCCAATGATCTATTTGGTGAGTGATGCCTATTTAAAAACACTACCAATTATAAAAATACTAATTTGATTAAATTCAGTTCAGTATTCGTATGTATCACAATTGAATGAGTGCACTTCAGTTAATGTTCAGACTGCTTCGTTTGCTGGCCATGGTTTGAGCGATGCTGGCGTTTCGACTTCGAATGGCCGGTGGCTCATTGGAAGGCCACAGGCTGTAGGGTGAGCTGACGTTGAATGGCACTGGGTTCCTATTGCGCTGCCGAATGGTCGCATAGCTTAGAGCGGAGTTGGACTTGACTTCCATCACCGGTTCAGACGGGGGGCTTAGGGTGAAGACACCCAGATTGGTGATGCCTGACTGCTCCACGGAGATAGAGGGCTCCGTTAGTCGACGGCGAAGTGGAGGCTGAAAGCGACTTCCGAATGCATGGCGAGTTATCGTTTGGTAGTTGGCGTCCGATTCTACGTCTTTGAGCTGAAGTGAAACAAAGCAAGGTAAAGTTACAACTAAAGTAGTGAGCATGGACAACAACTTACTATATCTTGAAGTGTTTGCAACTGCGTAGCCTTAGAAAGTGGATTATCAGCCATCAAGTCGGTTTTGTTGATGCCCGATAAATCGGCCCACTCGGAGAGAATGTCCTGCCCAATGTTGGTACTTTCCGGGTGCTTTCGCATGTGATCTCGGTAGACCTGAATGCAATGACATAAAAAATGTGTAAGAAATGTAAAAAATTTAAATTGTAAGAACTTTACTTTGATGTCCTCGCTAAAAAACTTTTTGTCACCAGGTAGCATGCTTCGAAGAGGAGCTATCTCTTTGATCTATAAAGCAAAAAACTGTAAATAAGCACAGATCTGTGTTTTTGCAAAACAACCTTTAGCAGAATGAAAGATGCAGCAAGGAGGCAGAAAACATTGATGAAGGTGTACGCCATACTGACGGCAGCCAGCAGCACCAGCTCCACTCGCATGTCGTAGCTGTACTGAACGGTGTACTTCTCATCAGGCACCCACTCCTTCTTCATCATCATCACCGTTCCGCTAAAGTTGAACTGCTGGTAGTCCTCCAGGTGGCCGGCAATCTGCAGGTGGGTGGCCAGCGCCAGACAGAGGCCACCGTTGACAAAGGGCGGCATGAAGGTGGTGGCCACGGCGACGCCGGTCAGCGCCACGATGTTGTTCTTCAGGAGGATGACTGCAAGCACTGCCCCGCCGGCGGTGGCAATGAACGACCCGTAGATGAGCGTTTTCAGCTGTCCGCGACTTTGCATCTCTGAAGTGGGCCACACACCGTCCGGTGGTGGGTGCCACTGGACTCGCCAAAACTGAAAGATCAGCCCATAGACGTAGCCAAAGAGAAAGCAAAAACTCAGCCCAACGAGAAGACTTTTGCAGCCCGTCCAGATGAGACTTCGATTGAGCAGAGCGCAGCCGAATGAGACCGCCATGACTGCGCCCATGATCGGCTCGATGCACATCGAGGCGGCCACGTCAATGGGCGAGCAGTTCATGATGCCCATGGCAGCAATGATGCAGGAGAAGAGAAGGTACATGTAGTAGTCGAAGGTGATCTCGGCGCTGTTCCGGACGCCGTCCACCACCTGCGCCACGGTCAGCCTCGAGGTGACTGACTTCAGAAAGCTGTCTTTCACTTTGTTGAAGTAGTTCTCGCTGCAATTGGTTTTAGCTACGTTTTTAATCAGATCGGTCTCAAACTCAACACTACGGCTTACTTGTAGTTCAGTAGATCGTCTGGATCGTGCTTTTCATTGTAGTAAAACAGACCAAATGGAATGTAGCCAATGGTGGAGTTACGCTTTGAGCCGATGCCTTTGTTTTTTAGGTAGTGAAGCGTTGGATCGTTGTTGTCGAGATCAGAGGTAAAGTAGACCTGGTAGTAGTGGCCATTTTTTGACGTCATCCAAACTGAGTCATTGATGTTCAGGTACTCAAGAGCTTCTTTTAATGTATTTTCCATGTAAGGCTTCTGCTTTCCCTTCTCGATGTAGTAATCATCGTGGAACTTGTCTGTAGTGATTATTTAACAAAAAAGCAAACTTTTAAAATGTGTTTATAATTTTCAAAAACGTGTTCTGTTTACCAGCATCTGCCTCTAGAGATAATTTGCTGTTGAAAGAAATTAAAGTCTGCTCGAATGATTTCTGCGGAATGGTGGCCACAATCCAGACGGCATCAATTGGCATTTTGTGTATTTTAAAAGTTCGTCAGTCAGTTGTAAATATAAATGTAGTGGATTAGGTTGGGGGATTAGGCATCACTAATTGCCACATTGTGCCTGAGTAAATAGATTTAAAAACTCAAAACTTACCCCAAACTTGTAAGTTGGCTTAGCACACCTTCCACTTTGTCGCCTATCAGCAGCATTTAATTGCTTTTAGCTATTTAATCATCTCATTTTCCGTCGATTAGATTTGACGCCAATCGAAGTAGCCAGCAATGTGCTAGTACCAGTGTAAAGTAGCGTACCAGAAATGACATTCATTGAGAGCTTTTGACGCATCGTCACTTTGATGTACAGTCTACTAAAAAAGGGGGTAAAATGACAGTTGATTTACTCTTTAATTGTAAACTTATTCACCTCGTGATTGCTCTCATTGGAATGTTTGGTCGTGTTTATTTAGGTGTAATAGTGTGTGTATTGAGCTCACCAGTGATGTCATTCAAGACTAGTAGCAATTGGAGTAGCAGCTCAAGTGCAACGCACGGGAAGCGAGTTACTAATTTGCCATCTGCCGCGCAACTGTGCAATGACGGTCAATGACAATAGAGTTGGATTATGCGGCCTCACCTGGACCTACTTAAAGATAGGAAATAGCAAATGTGTTAATAATGGCTGATAGCGACCAGATTACTAATTGAGTGTTCACAAATAGACATTTAATAAGAGTATTAGAAATATGCAATAAAGTACAAGGTCTGCTGGAAAATTAATTGTTTAGCAGAAAAAATATGCACTGACATAAGCTTTTCATTGTTGTGAGTTAGATAAAAAAAATTTTTATAAGAAAAACATTTTGTGGTTTTGCTCATTGTTGTAATTAAATTGTAAGCACTGGTAATAGTGTTGGTACGTTTTCGAATTAAAATGATTCAGATTCGAACAAACCTGAAAAGCATATAACGTGTAAGCATCCCCTTTGTCCAGCTCACTGGTTAGATTGTACTGAGTGTAATTTGTTTTGAACTTGTCAATTGACTTTTGTCTCCTACTTTGCACTTATTCGCTCTGGTGATGAGCGTTTCATCGTTGGCATCGTTATCGTCTTTGAGCGAGTGGGACGAGGAGAACTTCTCCGACAAAGGCAGTTGGCATTCCTGTGAAGACAAGGAAAACGAAAGCCTCTCCAAACTGCAAGAAAAACTTTTTGAGCAAGTGAAACGATCGACTAAAATGGCGAACACTCTTGAGAAGCAGATTGCCGCCTTTGACGAGTACAATGGTGGCTTTGAGCACTGGTACAATGAAAAGTTCAAGCTTGTTTTGAAAGCCATGAAACACCGAGCTCGTCAAGAGAAGAACCTCGATACGGCCTACGAGCTGAAGAAGATGGCCGAAGCGTACCTGGAGTGGAAAGATTCTGCAAAGGCTTTTGATTACATGAATCGAGTAAGTATTCTTGTCTTGTCAGTGTGGTTGTCATTTCACATCACAAACCTCATTTTCAGGCCATAAAAGCCGTTCCGTGTGATGAGAAAAGTTTTCTCGGAAACAGCTTCGCCTTGCGTGCCGAGCTGCACATGCAGCTGAACTCTGACGTCAGCTCAGCTCTGGCCGATCTGGAGAAGGCGCTCCTCTGTCGTCCCAACTCCTACACCTGCATTCGCCGAAAGGTGGACATTCTCTGTGAAGCTAAGCGAAATGTGGAGGCCTTCAGTTTTCTCGATGAGCTCCTCAACAAAACTGACCGAGCGAAGATAACCGCCCAGCAGATGGATCGCCTGCACCAGCTGCACGCTGATCTGAGTCAGTATGAGCCAGAGAACGAGGCGGCTACTGAAAGTAAAGCAAAGAGCCGATTTAGCAGCGTCACCACTGTTGTGAGCATCGACAAGCGCCTGAAGATGGTGCAGAATGGCAGCCATAAGCGATACGGCCTCTTCGCCGTGGAGGACATTGCCGCTCGCCGAACGGTGGTCACCGAACGACCGGCGCTCTTCGCTCTCAAGGACGACGGTCGGAAGCAGTTCTGCAGCAACTGCTGGCTCCCCTGCAAGAGCACCTTCTGGCCCTGTGGTGGCTGCACTGAGGTGCAGTACTGCTCGTCGCAGTGCGCCGCTGAGGACGAGGCAAAGGGCCACGCCGCCTCCTGTGGCTTTCTGCAGCATCTGCAGCTGGAGAGCAGCACCAATGTGAACTCCATCATGTTGCTTCAATACCTAGTTCAACACGGTCATCAGAAGATGGTCGCCGCCATGAGCCGCGGCAGCAGTGAGAGTGAGTCGAAGCAGCAGGAAGAGGCTGAAGAGAACTTCAAACTCGATGAGTGCTTCAACGAGCTGGCTTCAGGTTCGCTGAGCATGACCGCCGAGCAGATGTCCGCCGCCTTCTTCCGCCGACAGAATGCCCTCTTGCACAACTTCCATGAAAGCGGCAATCAGTACTGCAAGCGAAACAGCCACCACATTGCCTACTCGGTGTACATTCTCAGTCTGTACTTGCACTACGCCAAGGTGGAGCCGGAGAGCCTGGGCAAGGCCACCATTCAGGGCCTCCTTCGCCAGCTCTCCATTCAGCTGTACTATGTGGCACTGGGCGAGTACTCCTGGACGAACCGATCCACCGGGGGCGAGAAGACCTCCAACGCCTCCTTTCTCTGCCTCTTCTCCTCCACCGTTGGCCACAGCTGCAAGGCCAACGCCGAGTGGCAGTTCACCGCCGATGGCAACTTCACCCTGCGCACCACCGCTCCCGTGGACGCCGGCGCCGAGTTGGCCATCAGCTACGGCGTCAACAGCACTGACACGCCCAGCCTGTACACTCGCCTGGCCACTCTCTCCCGTTTTGGCTGCCTCTGCGCCTGTGCCTCCTGTCTGGCTGACTCGAAGACGGTCTTTGCTCTGCAGTGTCGTCAGGGCATCTGCCGTGGCCCGGTGCCCTGGAGCGCCACCTCCTTTCCCAATGATCTGTGCATCATCTGTGAGCAGAAGTACCCTGGTGGCACTGAGGTGGCAAAGACAGTTCAAAAAGGTACCACTTTTTAAAAACTATCTAATTATCTAAAATCATACATTTTTTAAATTTAGAAATGGAATCCACCAAGAAGGCCATCTGTCTGCTGTTTGTGGTGGACGACAGCGACAACAGCAGCACCTACGTGCAGCAGATTGAGGCAAAGCTGGCCAAGATTGCCGAGCACATTTACTCGCATAACGTCGCCTTTCAGTCGATGGTGCTCGATTTGTGCGAGTACTACATGAGCCGAGGCATGCACCGCCAGGCGGTCAACTGGTTCCAGTGGTTCGCCATTGAGCAGGACATCTTCCTCAGTGCTACTGAGGCCAGTGGCGGCAGCGGTTCAGCAGGTGACGGCAAGAAGAAAGATGACAACAAGGTGGAACGCCTGCTGACCCGTTTTCACTTTTTGGACAAGTGGTGCAACGCCTACTTGTGCGTTCTCGAGTCAGAAATGAGCAGCAGCAGTGCTCAGCCAAAGGAGCAGCAGTGCTCAGCTGATGGCCTTTCCAGCCACCTGAACGTCGCCAATAAGCTACTCACCCAGCTGAACGGCGTCATCGTCGACTGGGCTTCACTGTCGCCCACTGCCTCGCCATCC